GTTTTATTTCATTAAATAAGGGCAGGCAGGAAATGTTCCAGCAAATACAGATTGTAGCCCAAAGTCCACTGAGTTCAGCAAATATTTTGATGACTATTTCTTCAATTGTTGTTGCTGCAGATTGCATTGTTTCATAGTAAACTGAAGTCTGAATTAGCTATAACATTGTTACAGCATAATCAATGCAAGATTCATAAATTTTCTAATATTAATTTGTATACTTGGAGGTAGTTTGCACTGCCACACCATCGTTAATTCATAGTAATAAGCAGAAAAACTAATTTTTGTATTGTTGCATACTATTACTGCATTAAACTAAATTATACACAACTGACAGAATATATCTTAGCTATGTATTACATGGGAATTATTTTATAATTAGACAGAACTTTAAATAATTCAAGTGTATAAAATCTTCCAATTCATTCAACTGCATATCTGGAACTGCAAGAAAAATTCAAATATCTACTATGACCTCTTACATGCTAACAAGAATCAGCTAGCTAATTCCTTGATGCATCCGTATTTTTTAGGTAGAACCAATATTCAGAACTAATGATAAGGGTTTTACACAGCACTTTTCCTAAGGGCTACACAAGTGGTTCACATACATTGTCAGTGATTCTCAGAAAACATTGAAGGCAAGCCAATAGTATTATCCCAATGTAACAGATAAGGATAGCTGAGATAGAGGCTTACTTAGGAATACCAAGTGAGTTAATAACAGAGCTGAAGACTAAACTGGAAACTTCCAACTGAAAGCTTACACTCTCAACCATTACGCCACATTCAGCATATACAAACTGATGCACAGTTTGCAATTGTGTGCAATTCCGAAAACCTATAGTACAGCTATACAAGGTATCAAACTATTTGTAGTGCAAAATTGGCATTGGAATTAATCCTTAGCATTTGTATCTAAACTGATATCATTCCCTTGGCAGCAAAGCAGAAAGGATTTATTGTAAGAATAATCTCTCTGCCATTATAAACAAGAGCACTGACTTAGGGGCCTATTGGCCTCATGGCCAATGGATCTTCAAGTTAATACTACTGCAGGGACCCGGTGCTACAGCAGCTTCTCCCCAGTACTGCTTCGCTTCAATTGTACTGGCTTGGGGGCTGGAAATGGGCTATATACAAGGCAGGTGGAAGTCAAAAGAAGCAAAGCAAAACTTCTACTGAGAGCAAGGCAGAGCCAAAATACATTGCCCCTTCACTTCCTTCTGCTTTGTCCACACCATCACAATAGTGTATAGAATTGCAACCAACTCTGCACTCAATCACAACAAATCCACAACATAATATAAATCCTTAAAAACAGATTCCACAGCTCAGATGACCAGACACTTGGTATCACATCTAGTTTCATGTCATATACCCTTGGAGGGAACTTTGGTGATTAGCTCTATGATAAAATACTACACTTTATACAAACAGCCTGGTTTCAAAACAAATAGAGGAAGAACACACTATTAATGCCACTTATCTCAGACCCCTTACAAGTACTCTGCTGCAGGATCATCTCCCTTCCACAGCAGGAACTTCTGCTCTATTACGCCAACTGGGGATACAAGAATACATCCCACATAGATAAGCAAAGGTGGTGGGAAGAGAGAAACTATTTCTCTAAATGTGACCGCAGCATATATCTCCCCATGTCTGCAATATTGTCAACAATAATTTAGTTCAATTGTGTGGCATAATCAATGCTTCTTGACTCATCAGCTAGCAGCAATGGTTCCACACAGGATACCAAAAACATGCATTCTTCAGAAAGGCGATTGGCTAGAGGTTATCAGCCTTCAAACATTGATAAATGTCAGGCACTCCTCTTCAGTAATTGTATGGCTACTCAAAACCTAATGTACCCTTTTGCATTTCAGGAGAACAGCCTGGCCACATGGAGCAGAACAAGCAGGCGCTGAGCAAAGCTTCATACTACAGCTCCCTACAGTGGAGAAACAATTGTAGTTTTAGTGATGAGTCTCTCCCAACCTCCCCAAAACAGAAAGTATTTCAAGGAGGAACACGGATGAGTGCACAGGTGGCTGCTCTCTCTCATTGATGCTCACCAACCTCTACAGGCTACATGTTGCAGCTACCGACCATTACTATCACTCTTGGGTCTTGTTGCAGTCCTCCCAATAGGCATTTAATATACATCTAGTTTGGTCCTTGGGGACTGCATATGCTTTCAAGTGTGCAATGTGGGAGACTTTCTCCCAGCTACAGTATATCCTTGGCATCTCCAGGTAGGGCTGGGAGAGAGAACCTTGCAAGAAACCCTGGAGAGCTATTGTACTACTTGGGCCAACAGCCTAAGGGCTTCCTATGTTCTTCATAGAACATGTCCTACATTTGACACATGCTGTTCCACAGAGCTAGGACTAGTCAGGCTATCCCTTTCGTCCCAGTTGAGTACCTGGAAGCTGCTTTAGGGAATGTGTAGTGTGAGTGTGGGGTTTAGACCTGTAAGCTTCTCCACTTTTGCATCTAACATGAAAGTTAATACCAGGCATGCAAAAGGTGAGCTTGGTGTTGGTGGAGCCCAAACATGCACCTCTTTTTCCCAGCCTGCTTCTCTAGTCCTGTGGGCTAACAGGCTTTGTCCTTCAAAAAGTGCAGCTATGGCTCCTTTGTTGTGTGTCCTGGCTATACTCCTTTGCCAGACATAACTGATTTTTGGTGTTGTTTTCCTCAGTTTTGATATGTTCTGCAAAACACTGGACATCAACCTTGCAGAATGGTAAGAAAAACTATGCTAAATTAGCTTCACAAGTTTACCTGTTTGGATTTTACATCCCTTAACAGATAACTATAGTTAAGTTCACAGCATTCATAGCCAATTCAATGTTCTTTACATTATATGTTAAAGACAAGTACCTTACATTCCTGCAATGTTATCTAAATAATCTTGCCCAACTCTCTTTGTAAAGAATTAAAGTATTAGTCTCCAACTTGTTAAGACAGAATTTCTCACACTGCTGTGGCATGTATATCCTACCAGTGCAATTTCCCATAGAGCTGAATCTCAACTTGATTCAGCAGACTGGACATAGAAATGGCCAGAGAAAAGTTCAAAGACCACTTAAAACATATTTCGCTTGCCTTTCTCACCTTCAGGAAGAATCCTCCTACTAACAGCTTCTAATAAAGAGGGCACTTCAAGACAGTTGCTATTGTGCAGGTGGGATTCAATCACTTTATGGCAAACCTATCCCCCAGCCCCGCAAATTAGACTTTTTGCAGTAAGCAAAGCGATGGTTAAATAAACTGGAAAGTATGGAGTAACAATTGCTTGATGTGATGTTTTAAACCTTCCCACAAACAAATCAGAATAGAATGCTCAATAAACAGGTCGTATAGAAGCAATCAGGGAAATCCCCCCCCCCCACAACTAATGTCCATCTGATACTCTACTTCTCATCCAGAGAGGTGCCCCTCATCCCAAACAGCAGCAGTCTTTCTCATATTGCCAATTGGGGTGCAATGAGTGACAATCCCAGAATCTATCCTATACCCTTCCTAATCTAGGTTTTTGCACCATTTAGACTGTGTAAAGAAACCCTTACAGGAAAAAACTAAATGTGACACATGGGGGGAGGATTAAGAGGCAGGAAGGGGACCACAGTGCATGGGAAGAGTGCTTAATCCTTCCATTCCCAACCGTGAACCCAACAAAAATTGCCCAGCCTGTGTAGCTATGAAAGTTGTCCTATAGCAGTCTCATCCTATGATGCTTCAGAATTACTCTTAAGGATAGCAATTCCTACAAATATTACTTTCCCTGTACAGTTTTACTGTAATTATGATCTGTCTTGATCACTGTTGTGTTCCTATGGGGCACATTTGGTAAACCTCCGTGCCCCTTAGGTTGGGCTGCCCTTTAACAAGTGCCGAGCTTTTTATGTGGCAGACTATGCCCTTTGGATCTCCTTGTCAATAGAGGCTTCAGCAGGAGCCATGCCTTGTTTTTAGATGTCTTCTAAAAACTCTCTTCAGACACACTTTCAACCTAAGCTCTTACTAATGTGTTTGATGGTTTAATTATTTTTAGTGTAACACTGTCTTTTCAGTTCTTATACTGCCTTGTGATATTTTCATATGAAAGTGCACATTCTGTGTACACTGCGGCAGCCTTTGGCTATGTGCAATAAAACTGACTGAGACTGATATGAAAGTGCAGTTTAAAATTATGTGAATATAAATAAAGCACTTCAGAATAAAATATTCTAAATTATAGAATATTAAATGTGAGTAAATGTATTGAACTCATGCTATATTAAAGCAATGTGTAAATGACCAAAGGAGAGAGGAAATGGTTTAACCTGTGTTAACTCCAAAGAGATACCTGTTTGATACACAGGTTTCTTGCTTAGCATTCCAGACAGCTGAAATAGGAGTCCTGTAGTCTTGCTCAGGCCTCATGGAGAGAGTTTCAAGGGGTGAGAAAAGCAAATGGACAACCCACTGAGCAACATAGTAAGAGATGGGATGGCTCTCAGCCACATACGTGAGCATTTTACAGTTTTTTATGGGATGCATCTACCCCACCCCTAATCTAGGATAAGGATCAGACTAATTCCCTCTTCTTCCCACTTCACTCACTCGGCTGAAACTTCAACATTCTGTATGTTCTTGAAGCTCACAGATCCTTGAGAGGGCTATTTACAACCCTAGCCTTTAATTTACACTTCTGTGTATCTATGCAGGCCATTAAGTATAGAGAAACCACTACCTTATTTTTTGTGGCTCTGCTTTGTTTCCAAACCAATAGGCTTTCAACCACCTAAATTTGGTATTAGTAAATATTATGAGAAACTGGTAGTCTTACACACATTTCACTTCCACACTACTTATTTTTTAAATACACAAAAATTACAGTCTTTTTTAAATCTCTCATGCAAAAGCTACCAAAACCAGTAAAACAACACATTTTAACATGTGTTGCTGATACACCATCATCTTCAAGTGATACAGAATTCAATCATACCTACCACAGTTTGGTGGTTAACTTGGATCACTTCATCTCCAGCATGGATTTTCTTACATCGATCTGCAGGTGACTGAATTTAAAATAAAAGAGATGATAAAGAATACAATCCTTACTGGCTATCATCTCTCCTTTCGCAAAAGCAAGATTATTAAGCTATGCACTCTGTGTTAGTTCTCTATACTGTATTTATATTTTCCAGGAAGTAAAATATTTCTCTTTTTCAATGCTACAGTCCTGGCAACATATAGAAGGCTTCAAGTGGAACAAGTTATTTGCACAGACAACAGCTCAGTGAGCTACTGTGGTAATAATATGGGAGTGCTCTAAGGCCCTTTGAGTGTGCTGGGTGTTTTGAACTTGTGATGGGACAACACCAGACTTCCTCAGTGAGCCTTAAACGTCTAGAAGAGGACATAATCTGGATCAAATAACACAGTGTTATTCCTCACTGAGGAATCATGGGCTGGACTACAAGCCTCCATTTCCCAGTTATAAATGAGACATGCAGCATTACTTCAAGCCAGAGAGGCACACTTCATGTAGCTTTTTCCTCAAGATGAATGGATGGGAGGCAGTACTCCCTATTGCTAACAGATACAACCCCCCTCATTTTCCTTGAGGGGGGCTGCAAGACAAGGAGAGAAAATACAAACACACTGAGTTTTGTGTGTCCACTGAGTACTCACAAAATCTCTAGAAGGGTTTTGTGATCCAAGCAGGGTAGTGTTCAACTATTCTGACAAGATGCCCCCAAAACAGCTTCTCTGCCATTACTGATCTTTCCTTAGACTGCATGGTGTGTGTTTATGGGTGTTGAAAGTCCTGGTGCACTCTTAATTCAGGACCGATATAGAGGGCACACACGAGTACTGAAAGTGTTCCCTAGAACATGCATCCTGAATCATTCAAAACGACAGGAATTTTACAAAGATCCTTGAGCTCATAAATTAACAGAAATGGTTCCCTGGGTGTGGTAAGTCTGAAAACCACTCATGTAGAACATTCAGTGACTTAAAAACAAAACTCTTCTACAAGATAATGACCCTGACTGCTGTGCGGTTGAGGCTTTTAAGCACTCAGTGGATCAGCCCCTCATGAGAACCATGGGATCTTTCAAGGGTGCCATGAGAGGTTGACTCCTCCCCTGCTGCTCCAGGTCTGCTGTGCCACTGGACAAAGGTGCTCTGTGTGCAAGGGCACAAAGAGTGGTGATCGATGGAATACACAAAATGTCCCAAATTCTCACCTAACTGCAATAGTTTTTAAGATAATCACATAATATATTTTCCCCTGAAGTTTAATAAATCATTTCCCAGTGCAAGTAAACACAGACACTCATTTCTCTTCACCACAGAAAACCCAGAACACCAGGAGTTCAATTTAAGTACTATGATCAGAAGGCATTTATATCAATTCCTACTTCTGTCCTCTGGAAGTTGGAAGATTTCTAAAAATGCATTGATAATACAAAACACTGTGGATAGCAACTGGGCAAAAGTTAAACATTTGAAATCAATGCAGCTTAAACTCAGGATGGACTGACTCGAAGGATTCAGATCAAAATCCAGAGAAAATGAAGCATTCCCATGGCGAATTGAAATGAACGGGACTAAAGCATGCGGTAGGGTTCTTACTTCTAAAAATGGTGGGGATACCACACAGTTAGAGAAAACTTAGTCCATTATTTGTACAAGTTTTACTCTATCTGCACTGAGTAAAACCAGTAGTTCTGAACAAACAAGACACTTTTTACTTTCAAATTATGCATGCAAGTAAAGCAACAAAGAAGAGGCATTACAACCTGCGTGAGAAAGAAGTGGGATATAGCTTCTAAAATGGCACATGCCACACACAGCAAAAACTAAATGTAAGGCTGGAAACTGTTATGATCTATGTTGTTTGCAACACTCAAACCCTCTAGTGAGATTACCACCACTAGATTCAAGTTGTTTGAATGCTTCACAATATTACAACTGATCTTACAATCTAGTAACAGACATTGGCTATTATTGTGCCAATACAGCACACTGTAGTCACGCTTATTCTAGTCCCATTGGAGATCCCAGGATCATGGTTTAGTTTCAGTTTGTGTGGTCAGTTTCAGTTGTCGCAGCCTGATGACATGGATAGGAGCCTGAAAGTGAGGGTGACTATATGCTGTCTTGATCCTTGCCCATCAAGGCTAATACAATATGGTAGGAGTGGACTGACTTGACTGATGCAGGGAGTGGTTGCGGCTTTATAGAAGGGAGTTATCCCCACTTCCTGGAAAGGGCTTATGGAAAGGCATGTCTTGAAAAAGCCCTCCCTGGATCCAGGGATTTAAAAAAACTACTGTCGAATCTCTAATTCTCCCTTCTTGGCCATGAGGTAGGATCTGCTTCACCTATTTTTATGGATGTGTTGTTTTTTAGATTTTTTCACCCACCACTGGGAGCTGTCATGCAGGGATGAGGGCAAAATACCATTTGTATGCTGATGACATGCAGCTCTATCTATTCCATCTGAATCAGGACATGCTGTGAAGGTGTTGGATCGGTGTCTGAAAGCAGTGAAGAGCTGGATGGGGGCCAGTAAACTGAGGTTGAATACTGGTTAAGAAGGAGGTGCTATGGTAGGTGGTTCCTGTGTCTGGGAATTAGGTACATCATCGGGTCTGGGAGGGATTGCACTCTCCCTCAAAAAGAAATTTTGAGCACTGGAAGTACTAATGGAGTAGAATTCAATGTCACAATATTACAAATGTTCCATCCGTTCAAGTATATCAGATTACCAGATAGAACAATTCCCTCCCCTGCCCCTGCACACCGTTCTGAGGGTTCTCATGACCACCACCATCCTGGAGCCAATAATGGAAAGGGAGAGGGAGGAAAGCCTCATGGTGCAAGTGGTTTGGCACATGAATCCCATCTTGGAACTGGGGTCTCAAGTGGCTTCTGTGGCCAGGAGAATTATGCCCATTTTAGGATAAACTGCCATCTACAGTTGTTCCTGGACTAGAATAGCCTGGTCCCAGTTGACCTCCTACTTAAACTACTGCAATGGGCTGGATATGGGGCTGCTCTTGAAGAAGCTCTAAGCAGAATAATCACATTGAATTTAATTAGACTGCAGTGTAATGATATCTATTAAGGCAAACTAGAAACCACTTTACATTTCCTCCAAATATAACTTAGCCCTTATGGAATAAATGCTTTTAATATTTATAAAACAAGGCAAGTAGTACTATATATTATGGATTTTTTTCAATTATTTTGCTCTGAGAGCACTAAATATTAAATACCACCAACAGCATCAATCTATGGACTCGTTCTAAAAATGTATTATCAATATCTGTGCAGATGTTTTATTAAGTGACAAATTATGTTGAGAGCAATACATGGAAAGTATTACTATTATATTGATACTGGTCACAGTTCAAATAAATTATGTTTACACATACGGGAGATTATTCAGTTTAACCATATTATTATTATTCAGTTTGACAATGGAAACTGCTTCAGCAGAACTATGGAAGGCTGTAATTGTTCATATTGTTCTGCTCCACGCACATTAGTAACTCACTTATAGCCTCAACTAAATTTGCAAGAACTCAGACCTATCACTGTGATTAGTCATGTTGATTAGATAAAGGGACTGATCAGAGGATCTTGTTAGTCACTGTGATGTGACTTTCATCCCAACAGAAGCTTCAATCAAGGCAGTTTCAATGAAGTTTTTACTATAGAGAAGCAAGGCAATTGTGTGAGCATGCATGCCAAACTGACACAGGATGGAGTGTGTTACTAGTTTACTGACATGCACATTGAGTACCAGGAATGCAAAGTGTTGCAGCATTTCGGTGGTGGGCTGTGCCCCTAACCTACAGTAGAACACCTGTTGGAAACCCTCATGTATTTTCCTGTGGGAAACTGTAGTGGCAAGAGCTTTCCAACTACAGTGGTACCTTGGGTTACAGACACTTCAGGTTACAGACTCCGCTAACCCAGAAATAGTACCTTGGGTTAAGAACTTTGCTTCAGGATGAGAACTGAAATCGTGCAGCAGCGGTGCGGCAGCAGCGGGAGGCCCCATTAGCTAAAGTGGTGCTTCAGGTTAAGAACAGTTTCAGGTTAAGAATGGACCTCCAGAACAAATTAAGTTCTTAACCCGAGGTACCACTGTATAGTAAACAATGTACAAACACTACTATTGTTGACTTGAAGTTTAACTCCACTTCTGGTGGAGTATGGGAAGAAGAATTCTATGGTTGATTTAAGAATGTCATTGGAAATTCTATTTTCAGATATTTTCAGCAGTTTGAGTTTCCTTCGTAAGAAGGTGGCTTCTGTCCTTTAGAGGAACCTAGAGAATACCTCGCATACAACACAAATGAATAAGCATAAGTCTGAAAATGGCTACTGTATGTGTAGAGGTGAATGTCTGCAAGAGAAACTATCCTTTCTCAAACTCTCTTTAGTTGGTACAATGAGTTCGAGTCTGGTGAGATTACATCTCACCAGACATGAAGGAGTATGTGCTGCTTAGATGAGATCTTAACTGAACAGCTTTTATTATTATTTGATTTCCAGTAAAAAAACAAACATTATTAGATAGGAAATGTGTTTACTGCACCACAGCAAACTACAGCACAAAATCCTATGCGAATTAAGACAAATTTCCTTTAATTCACAACAAGGTATGACGGTGATGCACTTTTTCCTCCCTTGAACAAAGTCCAGTTTATATGCATTACTGAAGCTAACTTCTCACGACTCTAGCCCAAGCTCTTTCAAGCTGTTCTCCCACGTGCACCCCTTCCTTCCCCAAACATGCTCTTGATCCTTTGCAGTTAATACACACGTACGCAAGCAAAAGGGGAATCACAATCCAAAGTTTAGATTAAAAATATGTTCCAGACTGCAGCAAATTTGATAACAATACTTACATTTTCTGTTGTTCCAGTAATTACATGAAGACCATCATATGTAGATTTAATGTACATACCCTAAGAAAAAGACATCATGGGAAAAAATTGTAAAGTTCTTGCAAACTACTGCCATCCAATATAAACGTCTCACCCATCTAACATCTCTCTAGCAGCATTTGAGTAATACCACTAACACATACCAAGTGTTTCTATCAGAAGAAACTACATGTAAACTCCTTTTATTTGATGCGGCAGGTGTCTCTAGGTGCAACTCATTTGTATGCAATGGTTCACAATGTGGATTAAGAGGTGACTTCATAGCACTGCAAAAATATTGTAGTGACATGGGGGGAAAATCCCAATCCACACGGCAAAACTGAAATGAACTATATGTCAGTGGAGCTATTTAAGGTGGGAACAATTTCATATTCACTGATCTCAAGTGTAAGGTTATAATATGAACATAACCAGAGAAAGTGTCCATTTTATAAGTAGAATCCATAGGCACTCCATTATAAACACTAAACACAATCCCTTGAAATAGGCAAATCCATGGTACTATTGAATCAAAGCACATCCTGTGCATAGTGCATACAGATTTACACAGTGAACTGTAAAATCGGGGGCGGGGGGGGGTCACAGGGGAGACTACAATGCCATCGATATTCTAAGTGATTTGAGATGCCAAAATTTTTAGAATTCAAAGTCTTCTGAGTTAATAATTAGAAACCAGCTCAGCTGACCAAAACATCACTACATGTATTTCTCAGTAACATAAATAGTATAAACTCATATTGTTTAAAATCCAATATTTTAAAAGGCACATCATAATTCTGAGATATTGAAACAGTGACTATATAGTCGAGAATTAAAAAAAAACTGAAAACTATAAAAGCAATTCAGCGAAACTGCAGAACCTGTGAGCCTTCTATTTACCCACTAGATCTACAAATAAAGTAAAAGTATTATTCTGCAAAGGAAGGAATGTATTTTGATCAAAGAACTATATATAGAATTTGTATATAACCAATTCATACCTGCTGATTAATACGGATCACAAAGATAAATAAAATATGCCTAGTTTTAGAAATAGTACATGAACTGAGGCCTCTATGGAACACATGAGCTATATTTTTATGACCTAGGGAATGTTTATATGTGTTATAACACTGGTTGAATACTAACCTACATCTAAGGTGCTTTATTGATTATCACATTCAAAAATGTTCTAGTCAAGTGGAATTAAATAGTTGCTGGGAGAAGCTAAATTCCTCTATCGTACTATCTTTCCATCTTGTATCACACAATGTAGACAACATCCCCAGGATACTACCAAAGCATATTTTAGTTGATCCTCTTCCACTTTTACAACAACCCATATGATATTTTCTAGATGAGGGCAATAGTTTTAATGGTCTTCTACATATTATCTTCACATTATTAGACCACTGCATTTAGTAATGAAATCTTGTTTTATTTATTTGTAGAAAGCTAATTGGAGCAGGCCAATGCCCTCCTGAATGCTTCTAAATGCCTCCTTTAGGCACTGCCCCCCAAAAAATCTGCTGAGGAATTTAGGTTGATTCCCAGAGGCTGGTCAGTAAATGATACTATTCCTGACCAGCTTTGCACAGCGTATTATGACTCCTTCAACTGTGCTGTCTGTATGGTTCAGGCATACACTGATGCGTAAATGTGGCATTAAGTCAATCTTTCACCTTCTCCTAGTCCATCTGGAAGAATTTGATTTTGCTGGGTTTTTCCTTTGAGGGGACATTTTATGTGGATTGAACACCCATGTGGTGTTCAATTTCATTTTCCACCTTTGAGCATTTCAGCGTGTTTTTGGAGTAGGCTCTGAGGAGACGAACTGCATTTTTTTGACACTGTGTATGATTTGAATGGTTTCCTGTTTGTGGGCCTGGGTCTTTATGATGAAATAATTTGCTCATTTGCTTGACATTTTGGGTGTGCCACTTGCTAAAGAAAAAAAGGAGTGTCCTTCACCTGTTATTCTCTTTCTCAAGAAACACTCAAGGCAGTGTGCAGAATAAAATGGGAGGGGGGGATAATGGCTGTTCTACTTCCATTGCAGAGCACATATCTGAAAGATTACCCTTTATCATTTACAATGAGGAGGCAGAAGAATTCACAGAAATAGCTCCCCCTTTTAAAAAAAAAGATATTCAAGACCTTACAGAGCCTGAAAGCTTTAATCCATGAAGTGATGATGGGCTGTAAATGTAATTTTTTTACGCCATCTACTAACAGCATCAAAGACAAAGGTAAATTTCCTACAGAGTAACTTCACTGACACTGAAGAGTAGAGAGGATAAATTGTGTTCAGAGTACAACACAAGCATGCCATATCGAACCACCGGTTTCTTTATGGAATTGAAATGACAGTAAAATGCAATATACATTCTAGAACCTTTACAGATTTTACAGCAGAGGCAAACCTCTCTGCAGGATGAAATTGATTTTGCTACTATTACTGAAAGCATTCTGTTATCATGGCAAGGCAGGGCTAGCCTTAATATGGGAATGAGGGGCCACCTCAGGCAGTACATTTTAGGTGCTACTACAGCTTTGATCCAGACTTGTATCAAATGCTAAACTCAAGAAAATAGAGTCTTTTTCCAGCAGTATTACATTGACACTGTTACTTCAACTTGTCCCTTTTCTTTTATTCTTCCTCCAAATCTGTACACCGTCTGACCTCTGGTGGCTTGAATGGGGCAGGGGGAGCCATAGTGCTTTATAACTATATAGAGCTTTAGATTCTTGTCAGCCTGCTTTGCACAAGGGACCAGCACTAATGAACAGCAATTTGTTATCCTTTTAATGTAAAAATATCAAGTTATAACTACCACCAATAAAGAGCTGCTAGATTACCTTTAAGTAGCCTGTGTCCCAAAACAAATTTCTTGCTTTTACTTTAAAAACAACAAAAAATAGACATTTGGCAGCTGATTGTTTTCTGAAACAGTACACGTAAAGCAAGGAAAATCCAGAACTCAAAACAAGTTAGTTCAACATAGCTGAAGATAGGACATGTCTCAATTTTCATAGTCATGACATAAAACACATAACCCTTTTCAGGTACGTAGCCACAGACAATTTTATGTCATTACTCTGAAGACAATAAGGGCATAAATATGCAAAGATGAGAAATGTCAAGCAAATTAGTCCACTCTAGGGAGACAGAACACCTAAAGCATTCACAGCAGAAAAGGCACAGGTGGGAGGATGCGCTGCAGAAGATCTTCCTTGAAGCACAGAGATTTATTTTATTTCTAAATATTAAAAGAAAAAGCTTCAAAACAAATTGCGTTATTCAGACGAATAGGATATAAGATGTAACTATGTTTAGACTACCTTTTTTCTAACAGTCATTTAATGAAATAAAGACAATAGCTTGGATATTCATTAGTGTTCAACACAGTAACTCGTTATGTCCATTGAAGAAACAGATTCAGCAGAGGCTTCCATTGGAGTAGGGAATGGTGCAGGATTTTTTGCTGCTATCACTTTACTCCTGTGGCCCCTAGCTTCTGTACTGCTTCTAATGGCAGGAGCACCCCATGAGCAGACTTCTAGCAGAAGCTTCATGAGGTGGCAAGGTATCAGCAAATAAACAAGCTATGGCAACTGTTCTATATAATACAATTGCCAAACACTTGTTCCACATACTACACAGTGGTGTTTGGGGTTTATACTTGAACATAAATAGCAAAATGTGAAGTATTTATCTCTGACATATTTAAAACAGGAACACCTTCTGAGTGTGAATAAGGGGTTTTAATGTGCATCTTTCAGTAATATAAATCCCCAAGATTTTGAGGCACCTATCATGTTCTCCTGATAATCCAGTTAATCTCTCTGTAAAAAAAAACTTTGAGTAACATGACAAAGAGAATATGTAACCTGCGTGATTTAGTTTAAGGAACATTTTGATTGGATTCTTAGATACTGTATGGTTCAAAAACTGAGATTTACTAAACTCAGATGTTGTTTACAAGTCTGAGAACAACTCTGTCCTGTCTAAACAACATATTAGAAACAGTCAAAAAATTGTAAATTAACTTAGCAATGTCTGGATGTTATAATCAGTACTGCTTTGTGAAAGGTCTCTATGTTTATGATAAATATATGTAAACTTTTACCATAATTGTCACAGCTTGTATATTTTGCATGTCATTTGCTTCTCACTATTTACATTTCCCCCACTGTATCCGTATGCATATATCAACCAAGGATAGCACTGAATGCATTTGATAAAAGGAACTTGGGGCCCCTCTAGAATGACCCTTTTTGCAGGTATATTCTGCAACATGCCATTGATGCAATACTAATGTATCAGTGGTGGATTTATACTAGGCAGTTCATATACATTCTGCTTTATTAATTGCTTTGCAATGCTTTCCAATGTTACCATATTATTACTGCTGGGCAAGGGGCATTCTTGTGCTACAGCACAACAAAATCAGAACAGCAATAAACCAAATAAATTGTGGGGGGGGGAGAGGATTTCAGCAGGAAGCTATGGGCATATAGTGATTAGAAATGAAGCAGTACATTTGCCCTAAAATATTTTCAGGCAGAACCAGTATTGAAAGTGTCATTCATATAAGCACCTCAATACTATCATGATCACAAATCATCATGATTGTACAGTAAGAATGATGTCTGGCTCATTCATAAACCTATGCCGTAATAATTTTGTTACATAGCATTCTAGAGAGGTTAATCCTAATATGTTTCTCAGTGACCACTGATACAATTGATTATATGACATTAGTGGTGTTACTGTACATGTAAAACCTGCCACTGTATTTCCATTGGTTCTTAGCTGTGAAGTTTAAGAATGGTGATGATTGGTTACTTGGTATTTCCCTGCCTTCCCTCAAAAATGCCCACAAGTCCATCCTGTTCTCTTTCTCTTTCTGTTCAAGTTTGTGTCTTGCTGTTTGAACTTGGGAATTTAATTGTTCAGGAATGCCAAATTAGGTTTTATCAGCACAATAATAAAAATGCACCTCTTATTTTTCTTTTCTATCAAGATTCCAGCCAAAACTGGAATATAGAAAAACTAAATATAGAGTTGCTGATCAATGCTGAATCCAGGCAAAAGTGACATAATGATCCCTGACAGGTTAAACAAGTGTTGGTTAAACAAGTCCAATTCATATTTTGAGAATCTAGATCACAGAAACACACACCAGTGATTATAATTAAACCAGTGATGTAAAATCTCTACCCTCCTCCTACAAACCAACCCATCTGGATAAAAAAACTGCAAATTGATCATATGAATGAATCTTGATGCTTCTTAACCACTACAGCTATTTTCTTGCCTGTGTCTTAAAATTCTGCAAGCTATACCTTACCTCAGGCTTTGCACATGGTATACAACTTCCTCTTACATTAATCACTGATCACAGTATTGTCGATTTGCAAGCCCCCTCCACAGAGGCTGGCCCCTCTGTTTCCATATACTGACAAGTATATCCCTAGTAGCATGCAATTGTGCAAGGCTATCCAAAGACATATATTCTTTGATATCACAAATGGTGCACTAAATTAATAATGCCTAACATCCCAACAATGTCTGTAGCAATTATGCCTTAGAGCCCTCAAATATAAAAGGGATAAAAGCTGAAATGCATTCATTAAAAAATAAGCAGCCAGTTCATTTCCTGCCCACTCTTCCCTAGTTTCTATCTTGTTTTTATCACCTATAGTTCAACCATTTGGTTCCTAAAAACCACTCACAATAAAAAGTTGGCAAAAAAAACCCCATTTGCTTCACTTTGTTCCTTATTTCCATCCTTCTTGAGCTCATATTGCCTATACCTTAGCTGAAGAGGTTTTATTTGTCTTTGTTGCCTGTGCCTTCTTTTAACATGTATTATTGTAATTCATTTATCTTCTGTTATCATTATTTCCAGTTGGCAACAGTAAGAAATGGGGATCAGTGGTGAGAAATCTCAGGCCCAGAGGATGAATGGGATCCCCCCTGACTTCTTTATCCTGCCCTCAGACCTCACCCCAGACTGCAACCCTCACCATTTGTGCATCACATTTTCCTTGAGTGCTGTTGCCTAGCTTGACTGTATTATTGAACTGTGATAATAATCTTGCTTTCTTGTTACAATGATGGAGAGATGCATGTACATGCGCACAGAAACCTGTGGCATTTGTGTAGCTGGAATGTAGCCTACTGAGCAAAAGTTAAGAGTCACATTCATTGCTCTGCCCACCATAGGCCTGGGCCCCAAGAAGGTTTCCCTACATGGAAATGCAGCCCTTGTTCCCTGCTTTTTATATAGATGATAAATAGCTTTCAGATAAATCAAAAGTTCTACAGGAAATTTGGTTACCCAGCTGTTCTGCTTACATTTTCCGACATACAAAAATCTGGAAGACCCTTCAAAACTGCTGAATACCCATGATAATCATAGCAAGGTTTGAAGACACCCATTCACACTTCTATAGCAATCATTATTGCAGACATTTAAGTAGCTTACACAAATTTAGCTCATGAAACATTTTTCAATGATAGGTGTCAAAAATAGTTTACATAAGCAGTGAACCATTACAACTCAATACTTTACAGAATCCCCAAATAACATGTTTTGCCAGGAAATTGATACCACTTGGCTCTGCCCTAAAGAGCTTACTGTCTGCAAAATACAGTGGGGAAAGGCAAAAGTTAAAAATCTGAAGATACATTCAATGTTTCTGTCATCCACTTTTTGTTCTTGAAGTACTCTTAAGAGGCATAACTTTACTGTACCATATACAGTTCAAACAAATAATGAATAAACAGTTCCATGCATGGAGAACCTTGCCATCTAAACCGACAAAGCAGCAGAAAACCAACCACAGAGGCTTGAAACATAGAAAATTTACAGTAAAATAAAATCGTTTTGGTCACATCTTAAAGGGCACTTCTGGAAGAAGAAAACAATAAAAGGAGAGCTGAATTAGGAAAGGTTTATGAATCTCAGTGAAACCATGAAGAACCAACATTAGTTACGATATGTGAGATGGAAAAAACAGCAGACAATGGTACTGAAAATGGTCTTTACCTGAACTGGTGGCACTGAGACAAATATGAGATTACGAATGAACGGCAGTATAGTACTACAGTAGGAATGGAAGGTTTGGGCAGGGCAGAGTGCACCAAGTACAGTATGAACAAATTTTGAAAATATTTAAATAGTATCCAGTCTTAAAAAGCTTCAGGTGACATATAAAAAGTATCCACTAAAATAAAGACTTTGAGCTTTATCACATGCTGCAGTACTGCTGGTACATCAGACTTCTTTATGTGAAAACAGAACTACTTCTTCAGGCCCACCACAACCTCAAAAAGAGATGCAGAGGGTTGGGGGAGCCTCCAGAACACTTGTGGGGCGCAGGGTAGGAGAGGAAATTGAAAATTTGTTGCACAAGTAGAATTTCACTTGCTCAGCCTTGGCTACAACCCTTAGCGCTTATTAACTGTTGCATAAACATTCATATCAAATATGAGGAACCCAGGAAACAAGCGTAACTTATTGTAAATATACCGAAGGAGTTCATATAAGTAACAACATTATCAATAAATCTTGCTAGAAAAGGGGGGGGGGCATTTTCCTAAATTAACCAGGATTTTTTCCTGCATTATGTAACCAATATGGAAGTGTTTTCTTTAAGAACATTGAGCTGCTACATATAAATTTATTTTATGGGATGCAAGAAATCCACATCCCATTAACCTAGAAGCAACATCATTAAATATCTGATTGCATTCAGAGCCTCTCGTTGCAATCCTACACCTACTTACCTGGGAGTAAGCACCATTGAACTCAACTTCTGAGTAGACATGTATAGGATTGCACTGTGAGCTCCTCATTAATGCGACTCAGGACGTAAAGGAGGGACACAGGTTTGCAAGCTTACCAACCTCTGGAGATACAGTACTAAAGAGGTAGCTTTCAACTGCTACTATTTTTTTCCAATATTTCCTTAATAATTTTATACAGTAATTATTAATATGCAATTTCCACTAGCTGACTGGAGATCACATCTACAAATAGAAGAACTAGATATGCCAAATACAGGTCTTATTCGTAGAATGTATTTCTTTCGTCCTGGATGACAGTTTTGATTAACTGCGTACATCTTACCAGCCCTTCGCTTGGTTTGATGTTTGCCAGCTGGATCACTTCCAGGTGAGCAGATTGAGACACAAGAGGATCAGATGAGAGTGAGATTATGTGGTCACAGACGCTAGATAGTGTCTTACACTAGAAATAAAAAGTGTATTTTCCGTTAACAATCAAGAATATGAAAACTCATAACACAGTGGACAGTAATCATGTTTGGCCTTTAAAATACATTATTATATATTCAGATTAAATTCCTATTTTATCTAAGTGGCAATGAATATCATTCTTTGGGGAACAAGCATACTCCCTGTCCCTTATTCTAGAAAGACCATGATTAGAGGACAATCCAAAAAACCTGGAAATCTTCTACCTGAGCAGGATTGGGGAAAGGATTCGAACAGCATCAACATTTCTACACTTATCCCTACTTCCATGGTGGTGCCACGTAAAAAATGGTTTAAGGGCTGTTCAGACAGTCTGGACCTGACTTAGATTTTGTTCTTGGTTTTTTTCTTGAATAATTGGCTTAAGAATACAACAAGGTACATATTTTCAGATTGCAATGGCAGTATGCAATCTACAAATATTTACATTGACTTTTTAACACCTCCTTTTCTTGTACTGTTCTATCAGCACCCTCATGATGGAGAGTATTGAGGTTTTTGATTTAAATATAAATTAGAAGTTTTCTACTGGCATGCACAAGATGCTGGTAAATTCTGTAATAGACTATATCTCAAATGTTCCATTTGATTTATTATTCCATGGGTGTGCAGTGCACAGCCACCTACCATTAAAGAAGATGTAGGAAATCCAGGTTAAAATATCAACCCAGTTCTCAAGTTCAGAGTAGCCTTGGGCACAGCCTTGCCTCCCTTGTTGGATTGCTGTAAGGTTAAAACAACTAGCTAAATCCAAAACTGCACAAAGAGAAGGCTGGTTACAAAATTTTTTTTTTTCCTCCCAACCTTGAAACAGCCTTCTCAATGGACACTTTTGAATAGCATGGGCTGTGGCATAGGGGCTTCAGGGGAAAGATATCTACCAGCAATCAAGCAGAGGTACTATATGTTAGAAAAGGTTAAGCACAAGGAATTGGGACTAGAGCTATACTTACATTATTTACAGCCACTAGTTTACCAGAATTCGTATCACAGTACAGAATCAGATTAATGCATATTATAAGCACGCATATACACACTGTCTTTCAAAATATAAGAGAAGGAGGAAGTGAGTCCTTGCTTCATAGAAGACACACAGATTGGAGAGAAACCAGGAGGAACTACAAATCTATGATTCTATGAAGCAGAGGGGAGTAGCATGCGCAAACAGGAGGAAAGGGAAGCAAGAAACTCTGTGGATTAATGAGGATTAATGTGAATATTTATGAAAAGAGCCAGAAAGAGTCACAAGAATGGTCTCTCTATTGTTTGGAAGTAAGGACACCCTTTAGGGCTCTGATGGCTCTCATTGTAAGAGAAAGCTTCATACCATATTTGACTCTTTGATTACTTTTGCATTTTAAAAGATAATGCTCAAGATAATGCTGAAGTGATCAAAGACTATTAAAGGAAACCAGAGGGATCTGAAAGAAAATGTTGCACTGTGCTATTCCCCTTTTCAGGATAAACCATTATATTTCTCTTCTTCCAAAAGCCCCTCCAACAGTCAGCCAGCTTTGTGGTCACTAAGCATATACAATACTCACTGAGCTGGGTTTTTTTATGGGGGGGGGCTGCAACCCTTGTCAGCCTGCATGGTGCAGTTTTTGTTCCTATAAGAATTGGCACTCAAATAATTGAGTTCATTATCAGCATATATTATTTTTAAAATTCTACTTACCACATGAAGAATTTTGTTCTCTGTTTCATATACTGTGCAATCCTGAAAAAAACAAAATTAACAGAGTACAATAATATTATTTTTTGTGCTCCAATGATATGTTTAAATCTAGAAACAAAGGAATGATTTTAATTGTTCATAGACTTTTGCAAACACCCTCTATCCCAGCTGTATTCATATAGAAATAATGTCCATGTCACCTCCCCACAAGTGCATGCATGCATCTTTCCTTCACCATTCTTTTCAATTCCTTCTATCCCTGGTTTACTTATTCAATAATCAGAGGAAGGACTGATGACAGAGGACACAGCAGGAGCACAGGGGATACTCATGTACTAGGGTCCAAGCCAGTAGGGCCCCCAGGCTCTTAGCTTTCTTTCTGTTTGAATAAGTCAATCAAACATTTATAAAGAAAATTAGAAAGCAGAATGTAGAAGCACCATTCTAAGGCTCCAGATACAGAAAAACTAGTGTTGCTAAGCACACTTAACCACTTAGGTTGGAATTCAACACTGCAATATAACAATTTTTTTCTCAGTAGAAAGGAAGCCTACATTTTTGGGCTGTTTTATCCACATTGAAGAGTAAAACAAACCTATATTTCATCTTTAACATTTTTTAATGGTAGCAGTAATAGAGCATGTTGGTGCCATCCATTGCTCCAAAGTTAGCATAAGTTTATTTGTATCCTGTGCTGGCAAGTCTCGATAAATCTTGCAGGAACTTTAGGTAATATGGCAAGGACTACAGAGAAACTCGTGGTCATTTTGGGTTAATTTGAAGAGACCAGTGGCACTTAAACAATGATGAAATTGTTTTTATTTATTTTTAATATATGCTTTCTTACATTTGTTACAGATAAGGTAAAACATGGCTATCCTTCTGGAATTTTTCCAGGAGAGGTATTTTAGCAGACCTTTTTTCATGGCAAAAAGAATTCCTTTCATGAGCTGGCATGTCAGAAAGAAATGACGACTACAAATCAAGGATTAAAGCTGTATTATTGGTGTACAGATGTATTTCTTATTAAGGATACTTAATAAGAACACTTTTAACTTACTAGAAGTGGAGATGAAGTATGGTGTGATTGTTTGGGAGATACGGCTTACAATCAAAGGTTGCAATTCCTCAGAGGTAACTTTTTACCAAAACAATTCTTAAAACAAAACTGCCGTGAATCACCAACAAATAAAGGCAAACTAGCCAGAGAAATGTTTCTAGGAAATTTAGGCTGCAATGCTGTACCAACTTACTAGGGGGGAAATCACACAGAATTCAGTGTGACTTACAACTCAGTAGACATGATTATGACTGCACTGTGAGTCGTTGTAGTTGCACTTGTGCTAAAGTAGGCAACAGATAAGCCAATCTGATCTGGTGGAAGGGAAACATAACATTTTCTTTGTGCACATGCATTTTAATTCTGAGAAAATAGATCAAAGCACCACTGCTCTTCTAGCACAAGTTTGGGGGAAGTACATAGAAGGCAGCCAACAAACAAACAAACAAACAAACAAAACCCCTAAGAAAATAAAAAGAATGCCGTTTCTCCTGCAATTATTTTTGAGTGCCCAATTCACCATAACCATGTTCCTCAGAATACAACCTGATGGAAATCCAGAACACAGGGGGGAAAGTTGGGTCAATTATAGTGCAGGCAAAGCCCAAGACTTACCAAGAAGATTTTATAACATGAGCACAAGTGAGCATAATTCAACGATGGAGCAAGTTGCATGAAGTGCTATAAGGTGGGTAGGACTTCTTACTTTTAAAATTATGAGCAAAGACCTGTTAACAGCATACTCTTTGAAGTAATGGGAATCTGAGGGTCCCCAAAGCAGTTTAGGACACAGAAAGGTTCTTGTTTAGCTCACTGACTGTGTTCAAAACCTTCCTGCTATTTCCAGAAGTCTCAAATTCAAACAGAATAATTTGAAGGAATGTGAACAACATTCGCTAATGTCACAGCTGGCTGTGAATTTATTATCCTTGCAATGTCAGTAGTATATCTAAAAATAAATGTAAAGTATTTGCAGGTGCACCAGGTTTTAGGATTAAGTGCTTCTAGTCATAAATGTGCTTTCAGCAACCTGTCTTCTGTCCTGGCTATTAGTATACACAATGAAAGAAAGGCAACTTTCAGTGCTTGCTATGAAATATAAGTATGAAAGTTGCTCATTTACAGGGTTCTAAATATCTAGGCTCATGCATCCTTCAACACAGCTAGAGCTTCACTACTGTTATGGACTCCCACCTCTTCTAAACTTTTTTATAGTCAGTGTTCAAAACATCCATTGTTCTAGGTGCATTTTGTGACAGGGAATTTCATTGGTGCAAGCAGTTTCTGAGCTCTGGTTGCAGTACTGCACCTAAGATTTCAGATTAAAACTGAATGAAGTTTTAGAATGATCCCAGGGTCCCGTTAAAGGGGTTGTTCTGAGGGGAAGCATTGGCCATACGCCAACTGGATGTCATTGCTCTCCCCTGTGACGACAGCGAAATGGGGGGTGGGCTCTCTGCTTGAACATATGTTCTCCAGAGCCAGCCCAATCCCCCCACACTCTGGATAACCATGATGTTCCCCAGAACCCCGGCCAGGGACTGTGAGGGATAAACACCCAATGCCTAAGCCAAGGTCTCCCTACATCTGAAACTTTAATAAAGTTGTGGCCAATTTTAATTCCATAGCATGTTGTCTTGAGTCATTATTCCACTTGGGAGTCTCCTGGGGTTGGGGGGGGACTCCTCCTGTCCACACAAAAACACCTTGCGTAAAATCTTGCAGAGAGGACAGGATTATGTGGAAGGAGACAGCCCTCAGGTTATCCTGCACCTAGAATATTTAGAGCATTAAAGGTAATAACCAGTACCTTAAATCACATCTGAACATGCAGCTATTGTAAAAGTACTGGTAAGTACCGTATTTTTCGCCCCATAGGATGCACCGCCCCATAGGACGCACGTAGATTTTTTGGGGGGAAATAAAGAAAAAAAATTATTTCCCCCCCCAGGCGCGGGGCTGGCGCGGGGGAAGCCCGAGCTTCCCCCGACCCCAGCCCCCAGAACAGACTGCTGCCTGCAAGCCTTGCAAGCACGGTGGGACCTCCCGTCGGGCGCACGAGGCTTGCGGACATCTGCCCGAAGCACAGGGCGTGCTCCGCAGCGCGCTTCGGGCTGCAGGCTGCCACCCCAAGCCTTGTGCGTCCGGCGGGACCTCCCGCCGGGCGCGCGAGGCTTGCAGACATCTGCTCAAAGCACGGGGCGTTCTCTGCAGCATGCCCCGTGCTTCGGGCTGCAGGCTGCTACTCCAAGCCTTGTGCGTCTGGCGGGACCTCCCGCTGGGCGCGCGAGGCTTGTGGACATCTGCCCGAAGCACAGGGCGTGCTCCGCAGCGCGCTTCGGGCTGCAGGCTGCCACCCCAAGCCTTGTGCATCCGGCAGGACCTCCCTCCGGGCGCGCGAGGCTTGCGGACATCTGCCCGAAGCACAGGGTGTGCTCCGCAGCGAGGCTTGCGGATAGCTTCCTGAAGCCTGGAGAGCAAGAGGGGTTGGTGCGCACCGACGCCTCTCGCTCTCCAGGCTTCAGCGAAAGCCTGCATTCGGCCCATAAGACGCACACACATTTCCCCTTCATTTTTGGAGGGGAAAAAGTGCGTCCTATAGGGCGAAAAATACGGTACTATCTGCATCCAGTTGTCAGTGTTCACCAAAACCTTTCCTGGTGCTTTGTAGACCAACTGAAATTTCCAGAGACTCTTCAAAGGCATCCCCACACAGAGCACACTGCAATTATATTTGGTGTAAATAAGGGATGTGCCACTATGTGCACCAGCATAAACTGGACAAAAGCACCCCTGACCATGGCCTCTGCTGAGCATCTAGAAGCGAAGTTCAATGTAGGAGTATTCCTAAACTGAGTGTTCAAGGGGAGTACTACCCTATCCAAAACAGGGTTAATCCCTATTCCTAGTTCCTTTTCCCCCTAACAAAGAACACTTTTGTCTTGTTTGAGTTAAGCTTCCATTAACTACCTCTAATCTAGCCCATTATCATCTCTAACCACTCACTAAGTAAAGCAACAACTTTCCCGAAAACAAACAAGAGTTTTTCAGGACATCTTTGCTTCTTTCACTCTGTACCCTGAAGGCAATATATTAATAATATGACAAGCACTGGTGCTCCTTCCCCCTCGTTTACAGTAGATGCACTGCAGAAAGCAAGCAATGCATCCCCCAATGAAAACTACTTATTATTGATCTTAGTATTTGAAACTGTGTATTTTTTACATATTTTGTAAGACCCTAGATATTTTCCCTAGCATATTCCTCATTTCTTAATTCTCTTTGCAACAAATAGTTATTTAGTAGGATGTTTTAAAAAAAGAATTATACTTTTTTTCTCCCAGTGACCCATCTACCATTTCCAATGAATTTTACTGATATTCTTCTAATAACTATGTATTCAATGTGTTACTTGCAAAAGGAATCCTTTCTGTGCACATTGACCTCTTTCACTGATAATTTAATGAGTTACTCTCCCCCTCCCCAGTTTTACTCTGGCCTCCATAATCTTCAATATTCACCACATGTCAAAGTTTGTGTTTTATGATGAATCTCAAAGATAATCTATGTTACTTTAAAATCAGTGGGAAATGGTACAGCATGAAGATTAAGGACTCACATTTCTATAAATCATTTTTATTAAAGTCTTGTTTAAAAAATGCAAATAGCTGCCAAGTTGAACGTAACTTTGTCCTATTTCTAAACAGTTTTTCACATTATTACTGATAGCCAGTACTTTTTTTTGGGGGGGGGGTACTCAATGATACACAGTACTGGCATCTCTTTTTGTTACTGTTAAAAAGTGTGGCACTTACTGTTACAATTTCATGGTGAGTGCTGGCTATTTTTCTAGAAGAAAAGTACCGATAGCATTATCAATTAACAGCACCATCCTATGCACGCTGCTTAGAAGTACATCCCACTGAATTCAGTGAAACTTACTCCCAAGTGTGTACAGGATTGTGGTCTATTTCAAGAATGAGCTCAATAGGTTTTGCTGTCTCTGGCTGTTTTAAGAATCCTAGCCTTGTTCTTATTTTTATCTTTTAAAAGTAATCTTTCTATGTACAGTATTATGGTTGTACAGTTAAGTTGGAACATTCAATGAAAATAAAAAACCTTATTCTTTAACATTGTCTCTACTTTGGAAAGCAGGGTGAGTTGGTACTAATGTTATTGTTGTCTCCTTAGTTATTATACCTGAAAATCAATATAGTATAGTTTTAAAAATAATAATAATAAATGAAATAACTAATGCAAGCATGTGTACACATATAAACACACACTTACAATACATTCCTCAGTGCCAAAAATAAATAAGCAAATTTAATCATATTATTTGTTTATTTTAATTCTATAGAAACAAAAATATGCCCTAGAAATGTGAACAAACAAGTTCACAATCTTAAACTCTAAGAGCTGTCTTGAAACATAAATCCATATATGCATACAACCAGAAAATATAAATTCTCCATATTTTTAAGGTTTACAATTAAAATAATCCTCACTGTAAAGGAAAATGGGAAAAAATAAGAAAATATTGGCATATCCAATGTTTCATGCAGCTACCAGGTATAATTGCTGTATTGTTTTTCTAAATTTATGACAGCATGCTCTACTTAACAGCAGCAGCCATGCACCACTGTAGACACATCTAAAGCACCCATGCTCAGTCCACTAGATCCTTTTTCACCAATACAGGACAAATATAGATTATGTTTGCATACAGCAAGTTACTATTGTTTCCTCAAAATATCCAGCTAGAGGATAATCTATCATCCACTAAGGCAAAAGTGGCACATGACTTCAAGTTCCACAAAGCCTGAGTCACTGAGAAGGCACTGGAATAATATGACCATATTCAGAGGGATAATGTTTATTCTCTCTGTTGTAGCAACTGCCATGAGCTGTCCTACATGTTATATGATTTTTTTATTGTACTTTTAAAGACATACCACAGATTATCAGTTTCGGAACCCCTGCTGTATGGTTTTGGGGAGAGCATGCAAAGATCTGCACCAGGAAATCAATTTCCATTAAATAATGGCTCAAAGCAAAATCACAGCATACCTAACTGTTAATATTTTATCATATGGCTGAGTCTCCTTCTGAGTCTTGCAAATATATATCTACATCACATCAGTGGCAGAGCTTCATTCTCCGGCACCGGGGGGCGGAGAGCAGGCGGGGGCGGGGCTGGCATGTGTCCCAGGGGTGTGGCGCACTACCCACAGGGGCGTGGCATGCGTCCTGGGGGCGTGACATGCCGCCTGCAGGGGTGTGGCACCCAGCATGGGCAGGGGGGCAGCCGCGATGGCACCCCACCGGGATCATGCTGCTGGGGGCGGTACGCTCTCCCCGCACTCCTCTTCCTCTGCCAGTGCATCACATCCATTTAGCTATCCAATCATTCCAAACAACTAAATCTATCCATCTTCATCTGGTATGCCAGCTGATACCCTACCTGCCTGCACCCTGTCTTGCCAGAGTGGTACATGCTCTGGTTATCTTCCACTTGGACTACAGCAATGCACTCTATGTGGGGCTTTCTTTGAAGGTGACTTGGAAACTACAACTAATCCAGAATGTGGCTGCCAGACTGGTGACTGGGAGTGGCTGCCAGGACCAAATAACATTGATCCTAAAAGATCTACATTGGCTCCCAAGTATGCTTCTGAGCTCAATTCAAAGTGTTGATGCTGATCTTTAAAGCCCTACATGGCTTTGGTCCGGTATACCTGAAGGAGCGTCTCCACTCCCATCGTTCAACCTGGACACTGAGATCCAGCTTTAAGTGCCTTCTGGTAGCTTCCTCATTGAGAGAATTGAGGTTACAGGAATCCAGGCAGAGGGCCCACCCTGTGGAATGCCTGCCTGTAATATGTCAAGGAAATAAACTATATGACTTTTAGAATACATCTAAAAGTCAGGCAGCCCTGTATAGGGAAGGTTTTAATGTTTAATGTTTTCCTGTGTTTGATGTTTTAATTTGTTAGAAGGTACCCAGAATGGCTGGCAGCATATAAATATAAATTATTATTATCCTACCTACTGTATCTAGTTATTCCAGGACCTACCTACTTAGTTCCTCGCTCCTTGTTTCTTGCTTGTCTCATGTGAATTCTAGCAACGCCATAGTATTTGAAATGCAACAAACTTGTGAGAAACTGTACAGAAATGCATTTTCATATATCTTTCTCCTAATGAAATGAGGTGAATATGCGGGAAATAACTGAAGGCACTCACACCTACACTAAACTTAAAGATGGAAGCCTATTGCATTATCTACGTAAATGTCAACTGAAATGTCTAGCAAGTAGGTGAAGATGCCCACACAGCTGTCTCCCAGGGCAATATTCTTTCCCTGTTGAAGTATGAGAAGGCACTAATAAGCATTAAGACAAATAAATGTGATCTTTAAACCACAGGAAAAGCCACTAGAAGCCTCTCTCTTTTCTACAAATGGAATTTTTAAAAATTAAACTTTTAACTTATGAAAAGACCTTGACTATACACATAATTTATTATATAACTTGTGAAAAGGCTCTTGTTGCCAGGGAGATAGACTTAGGACAACCAGTGTTGCCAGGGAGATAGACTTAGGACAACCAGTTCTATGCACAATGCTTATAGCAATGTGGAAACCAATCAGATTTTTGTACATGCTGCTTTTCAAAAATATATATAGAAACAGAAAACACAAAGCCCTTTTCCTCCACCTGAAGCAGTATGAGCAAGGGGCTTGTGGGAGCAAGACGAATAAAAATAACATTTCATCACTCTGCTGTTCTGAAACCCCTAATCAACAAAAAGTAGATGAGGCTTTTAACACCTATCTGCAAGAGTGTGGAATCAACATGGGCTTTGTGATTAGATTCCAAAAGGAAGCCTTGGAAGCATTTCCATGTGAAGAGAAAACAACAGACCCTAATGTAGAAATCTCTCTCCCTCCCTCCCTGCATACATCTTAAGGTATGTTAGGAAGCTGCAGCACTATTTTATCAGGTGAATACGTCAAGAAGAGACAATCCATGCTTTCCTAAGTACCCATATTAAGTACCAGCCTGAATGGAATGTTTGACTGACACTTTTACATAGAAAGGAGCATAGTTCAGGAGATGGCTTCAAGAACACATGATCCACTGTGCAGTACACAATTATTCACATAAAGATTTCTGTTATGGGAATTATATCAAATGTGTTGAAGAAATTATGTGCCGACATCAGTAGGAACTTTAATGTGTGGGTATTATTATTGCTATCTTGCCAAAATGGCTTCTATATATATGTATAATATGAATTGTAGGGAAAGACTTATAAAATGTATTTAACTAACAATAATTTATTGAACTTATTTATATAGGACTATAATTGAAATAAGTATGGCAGCTCTAAAACCTGAATACATTTTGTCAAAATGCAACTATAAAGTAAATGTGTCCAAGAAGCCCCAAACCACCATATTTCTCAAGCACAGTGAACAAGTAATAATTAAACCAAGAGATCCATGCAGCAGACCCAATACATTTTATACATGCCTTCAAACATAAGAATGAATATAAGAACAATTGCATAATCCCTGCCATTATTTAATTTTATATAATCTCCATGCAGTCAAAGTGATCTTCCAAAAGCAGTCCTTCAGATAAATTCTGTCATAAATCTCAAATGCTATGAACTAAAAACAGGTATGTGATACCTTCAATATTAACTATAAATTTTGATGACGTATGATAGTCCCCAATTAGCATCACAACACTTCTAAATGTAAACAATAAAACATGGGTATTTAATTTAAATTGTATAATGAAAAATACACAAAATTTACAAGACAATTATTGGTATTATCCTATGCAATGGAAATCTGCCTGCACAATGGGACTTCCAGTTTCCTTCTCCCACCCCTGGCATGCCCAAAAAATCTGCTCCAGAATGTCTCCCAACCTTCCAGAGCAGATTGTGTGCAGGGGGCTGCAACAGGGAGATGAACAAGAACGCTAGCTGCATAAGAAAGCACTGCTTGCACTAACTGAATCTCACCCTCTGTCCAGCCACAGAAGCACAATAAAATGTACGCTGTTTGTATTATAATAAATGCATGTTCAATTAAATCAACATTACTTGTAGGTAACTTATCTCATATAAGTAGGGGCCAACTTTACACGTGCAGAAACAATCTTTCAAACATGGCAAAGGGGCATGAATAAAAATGAGACACTGAATAAAGTATAATAAAATACAGATGGGAGACAGCTATGATCATTATGGCTGATTTTTCTCCACTTTGCTCCCACTCACTTCTAAACTAATATGTTCATATGTTAGTGTTAAACTGCCTGGTAATACTGTTCCTTCTTTATATTCTTTAATAAATAGATCCAGTGAATATTAATTCCTTCCACTCCAGAAAAGTCAAATGTGCAAATTAATAAATTGTCTTGTTATAGTGTTATAGGTGAACAGCATAAAAACAGGATATTCTTATACATTGGGGAAGGGGATTAGATTTTTATTTAATAAAAATGCCTTCTAAATTAAACAAGATATGAAGGTGACCTCATACCTGCTGTACAATAGTTGTTAATTCAAGACAGAGCTGTATGACATTGTTCCTTGTTACAGAATAATCTGTCACAGCAGCAAAAGGTGATCTGAAAAAATGAAAAAGTTTAATAAAATGAAATCATGGTTTCTCTTTAAGTACTAAGTATACACAGACGACTTCAACAATAGCATTTATGAAAAACAAATACGCTACAGTTATATACAATTCCCATCATCCCTGACCACTGGTCCTGTTAGCTAGGGATGATGGGAGTTGTAGTCCCAAAACACCTGGAAGGGCCAAGTTTCCCTATGCCTGTAATACACTGCTTTGCAAGCAGTTACAGTACAAGATCATTACATGTAGCCATTGCTGAAACTTATTCCTTTGAAGTGTTTTATATTCATAGAGTTCTATGACATTTTGAATTGTTAGAACTTAATAAGAGTATTATCATCCTATGGCTTTTGAAGTTTTCCAAATGGATAAAAAATGGCTATCTACAATATTTGTGTCTTTTGGAGAACATTGAAAGAGAAAAAATATCTTCTACCCTGAAGCTGCAACTAAATTTAAAGGGAGAAGATTAACCATACCCTCCAACCACTTGGCAAAACTGGTTAATAACCAGAAAAGAAGAAACACATTGGTCCCCAAAGAGAACAAAATACAAGATAAATTTATATAAATGTTGTATATAATTATTTGTGTAGATGCAAATTCCTCTCATGCCATTCTTTGCTACTCTATTACAACATTATTTACATCCCAAGGCAGGAATGTTGCACCATTTATTGAACTGATTTAGGCTGCACTATGAAATACAGCACTATGATTGACCTTAAATGAAAGAAATGTTTTTTTCTTCATATAAAGAGACATTGGAAATTTTAATTACACAACTCCTACTAAGAGTGAATCTTTCTGCTTATGACCCTTGAACCTGAGGGACTCATTTGTTATTTTTTACTTCGACTACCCATATAAAAATCAGATGTGTACATGTGATAACCCTATCCCTCCCCCTCTGTAGTACCCCTTTTGATTAAGTTTACAAACATTGACTTCTCAAGGCCACCCAGCAAACTTTGTGACTGAGTAGAGATTTTCCTTTAGGTTTCCCAGCCCAAGTGCATTCTACACCTGTAACTGGAACCTGCTGCATACTAATGCAGTGCCCAACGTTCCTCTCCACTGTTGCAATCAGTCAGGTATGCCCACCTCTGTGGTGCCCCATTCCAGTATCCTACATTTCTTCCCCCACCCCCAAACTAACATATAGCATTTCAAGGTCACTCAGCACATTCATTGGCTTGTTCTGGGGGGTGTTCAAAAGCCTTTTTGTACTTCTGCAAAACCTCTTTTGAAAACAGAAGAGGAGGAGAGTGAAAATGAACATGAATATTTTAGCATGGGCACAATATTAACCACAACACATGCCAGAAACGTAGCACATTTCCCAGCCATCATCAGTTATGTCTCCTTCTGGATTTTTCTACAGCACTAACGACAATTCTACCCCATTCTGACTTGTAACTTCCATTCAAAGCACTTTAATCTTCACCATTATCTATATTATAAACTACCACAGTTGTTTGCCTTTTGAGCTTTTTAGCATGCTCTACTAGAATAAGGGGAAATGGGAAAAAAGATTTATCTCAGACAATCAGGTAAACAGTGTTTGGTTCTGGGGCTCTCATGAGTACTTTTCTATAAAATGACACAGCAGAGGATAGCTACAAAAAGAATCATGTGGAGTGAAATTCTAAGCCAGATTATTTAAAACCCTTTCATACATGACTTCCAAACTATAAAGAATTGTATATTAAGACTTTCAAGACTTTGCATCTCAATGATATTTTTTAAAGACATTTCTTTGAGACGTTCCTGGTCCTATACTTCAGGTTACATGGTTCTCTTCTCACCCTTCAAATTTGTTTCAGATGGAAAGATGAAGCATTTGTAAAAATATTCTCCTGCCATCTCCCCTCACTTGTATTCAACACTAAAAGCATGGAAAGATGGAAAAAATAACAGAAATCTCAGAGGAAACTAGTGAGTTGAAGGAAGGGTGAGGTGTAATGCTGCTGCCAAATGGAGCAGATTTAAATACTGCACTGAAATGGCTGTTTCAACAGGTGGACCAGGAAAGAGTGAAGTGGTCCTAAAGAAAGTAAGTAAAAAAAAGAGAAGCTTATAAATATTCATCTCATTCTTAACATACTCTACAGTGCATTAGCTTTGGAGGCTTTAGGGTTTTAGATTGGGGGAAGCATGAAGACAAAAATGAGACCACTGAAGCCAATTATGCAAAAAGAAAGCAGTATTACTTGGCATGAGAAGGAGGAAAGAACAGGATATATAAGAACAGTTTCTAAAACAACTTTCTTCCACAATAGTAGGTACACAAGATGGATAACTTTACTGTCCATGGTAAATCACTTTCATTTTTGCACTTTGGTATCTTGTTAAAATGTTGTTATTTTGAGTTTCTTGCATTGTTGTATTTTAATATTCATATACATGATTAGTAAGGTACCATGCAGTGCACAACCTACTATTCCAAACACTGCAGCTGTTAAACTACAGTATTGGGCTCCTGATAACATTGTAGATCAAATATCCTATTATCTTCTGAAAAACTGCAGGGTATTGAAGAGTAAATTGATACAGCATATAGCTGTAGTCTAGACTAAGATACACGTTTCAGTGAAATAAAAATACAAATGTTTCAATGAAACAAATAATAAGAAACGAAGTACCAAGAACTGTCATTATTTTGCTCCTTCCTAATGGGTGAAGATATATATTCCAAATATGGCAGAAGTTGTTTCAACATACTTTCTTTGCATTCTGAGGATTTGTCTTCAGGAGAGAAAACTTGTGTTCAGACAGTTTCTACCACAGTTGCAGATCCAGACCGAATATTGTGATAGTTCCTCTTTTTTTAAAGCAGGTAACTTCAACTTGCAGATATAACTTTATAATATAGAGTTCTAACAAACTCTATGAACATGTAGGTGAATGTGCATGACTAAAATGGTCATCCATGAAAGTCCTGAAATTACCTGTCTAGCCAAGCCAGGAGACTTTTTGCTGCTCCAATCAGATCCACCACTGAGGTAAGGAAATCATTTGGTAATTTTCTGCTGGTTCTGCCATCATAGTGACCACTTCTCCTTCTTCCCGTGATAAAGTTCTGAAGGTTTTTGGCAGATGCATTTAGCTTGTGAGAAAGTGTCTTTAGGTTTTCAGTTTCCAGTCCATAGTTCTGCATTTAAAAGAAATTGGGAAAACAGTTAGTTCTTCGTCTTTATAGAAAGCACTAAAAAAAACCAAGGATGGTTAAAATCTAAGTATACATGGCAAACTGCTTTAAAAAGTCCTTGAATACTTTGTTTCCAAAAAATATTGACACAGACTTGGGCAAAAGTCTATATAATCTTTATCTAGGGAAACAAACAAGTGTACTTTTCTGATATCCTGTAAAGCAATTTTAAGCCTTTAATCAATTTAACTTCTCTATAGACCCACTTTCATCTGTGTGACATAAGAACTGAACTACTCTGTCAATACAGGAAACTGAATCTTGAATCTCATGTAGACTAAACTATATCTATTAAATGCAGAAGAGGTGGCCCTCTTCTTGCCAGGGGCTTACATTTTTTATGTCCTCCAAGCCTGAAGCCAAAAGCCACATATTTACAGCAACACATATGGTCATACTCATTTATAGCCAACATATTCATGTTGTATAACCATGTGGGTTGCAGATGATGCAGTACTGTCTTACCCCTTGCCTTCCTTTGAGTAGCTTTTATCAATGTGTGGATATTTCTAGGAAAAGCTTCCAATATGCTGTGAAGCTTATCCTTAAAATGTACTTAGTTAAGAAAACCAACCTTTAAAAAACTTTTTTTTTTTGGCTATTGTTACATAATACCTACCTACACTAAATCATCTTAATCCAGATGCAGCTGTGGCTTGCACTGTGCACATATGAGCTAGCTCATTTGTTTGAATAGATGGTTTTACTAAATGGAGCACAAGCCAAAGTAGACACTCCTCAGATGTGTGGAACAACCCTTACAGACAATAATTTTCATGGGTGGCATTCAATTAAGTTTCACTCACAGCCGATCCGTTTAAATTTATGAAAATGACTAAGTTAGATCCACTGATTTCAACAGGCCTACTCTGAGTAAGACTTAATTAAATCCCACCTCACGTGTGTTATGCTTTGCAGAGTTTTAAATTGTGGTTTTGCCTTATTTGATTTACGGTACTTTAAATATTTCTTTAACAAATTACAATAAAGGTGGCATTTTAAGAAAAAAAGTTAATGCTTGCAACAAAATGCTGAGTTGGAACACTGGTGCTCAACTGGGCTCTGAACCATTACCTCTTTTGCACAAGGACACCCCCCGCCCCAGCATGTACACAGCTCATTTTTAAACTAAGGAAGGGAAAATGGGATTGCCGAATTATTTAAACATACACTATAAAAGGAACATATTTTTGTAAGTACAAATTTATTGCCTATAATATATGATAGCAATTATTATCCACAAAACTTGCTATTCGACTCTAAGAAAATGACAGTTAAGGATGCCAAAAAATGGCAGAAGAATTGTGTCTCTCTGGGAGTATGTCTTCATTATATGTGCTCACAATTTATTCTGATTAACCTGGCAAAAGGGAGTCTAGGCTATAGCTATTATGAACAAAAAACAGCCCTGCTGGATCAGTGGACCCATCTAGTCCAATGTCCACTTCTCACAGAGAACAAACATATGCTTCTGAGGAAACCCACAAGCAAGCTTTGAGCAAAACAACACCTTTCCCATCAGTAGGACCTTTAGCAGCTGGTATTCAGAGGCACAGTGGAGGTAAATAGTAGAGGTAAAACAAACCCATCAGGGCTAGGAACCATTTATTGCCTTATTAACCCCCAAAATAAACCTTGTGTCACTTCTGCCCCCACTACCCTGTGTTATTATTTACAGTAACTTTAGGAGAAATACAGACTGCTCAAAAGAATTATAACACCTCACATCTAGCAAGTTTTGGCGGGGGGGGGGATGGCTATCTTTAGGCACATCTGGCTTTTCAATTTGATAGAATGGTTGAGTTTCCTGCTTAAGCCTTTCACAGTCCTCAGTAGATGTGCAGGGACCCATAAATTAGTTTCGGGCATGCACAAAATTCTGCTGTGAAATGGGGACACAAGAAAAACAGTGGGGAAGACTTCTGCTGTTTCTTTCTCCAGACTTCAGGACAAGTGAGAGCTCAGATCAGGCAATATGTGTTGCTGAGCCTTGTTTTTGATTAAAAACCTGAGAAACTTACCCTTGGGCAAGATGGCAAGTGGATGACTGAACATGTGAGAATTTTTTAAAAAAATAAATCATTTAATGTGTCAACACGAATAGAAGTTATTAATATTGCAGTTGTTGTATAAGGGATTGTTATTATGACCGGAATGTAATGGAAATTAATAAGATTCTGGAATGCAGAAATGAAGCAAATAATCAAGCCATCAATTCAAGCACGTAGGGGGCCACCTTATCTAAATTATATAATTAAGTACTTGGACAATTGGTATTGCTATAATGAGACTATTATTGGATTGTAATTGAAAACTAATAAAAATTATTATCAGATTATGTGAGAAAAAATAAGAAGCCTTTAAATAATCTATAGCAATAAAGTGTCTCCATCTTATCATTCCACTTTATGCCACATAATGTATTGTTATGCTAGGTCTCTTTACCAAGGTAACTATGCCTTTAAAATAGCAAATCACTTTATAAAATAAATAATAATAATAATAATAATAATAATAATAATAATAATAATAATAATTTGTTATTTATACCCCGCCCATCCGGCTTGGTTTCACAAGCCACTCTGCGCAGCTCCCAACAGATTAAAAACAGAATAAAACATCAAACATTAAAAACTGCCTTCAGGTGTCTTCTAAAAGTCTAGCTGTATATCTCTTTGACATCTGATGGGAGAGCATTCCACAGTGCGGGTGCCACTACCAAGAAAGCCCTCTGCCTGGTTCCCTGTAACTTCGTTTCTCGCAGTGAGGGAACCGCCAGAAGGCCCTCAGAGCTATATCTCAGTGTCCGGCCTGAACGCCAGGGTGGAGACGCTCCTTCAGGTATACAGGACCGAGGGCGTTTAGGGCTTTAAAGGTCAGCACCAACACTTTGAATTGTGCTTGGAAATGTACTGGAAGCCAGGTCCAGTAATTGGGAGCGAAATCATAACTATCCAATGGTTGCCAGGCCCATTAATTACCAGAGTCAATTAAAATTCTCTCTGAGTAAAAACAGTTTGAACTGTTTATATACCACCTTTAATCCTATTACATACATATATAATTTTATTTGTATGCCACCTTTCCACAGTTCAAACCATGCTCAAAGCAGCTTACAACATGAAAAGAATTAACTACAACATAACAAAAGTTATCATAAGCAATAAATAAAACATTAAAAATCCGCAACCAATTTTAAAATAAAGCACAACATGATCTAAAATAAAGATTAAAAGAACAAACAGAAACAACCGCCACAAAAAAACCCCAAACAACACCCCAGTGATCTTGAGGCAGGTCACAACGGTTTAAAGTACAAAAAGAAAAAAAAGGGGGGAAAAGAGAGCAAAAGGTGAAATATAATTAAAATTGTAATCACTAATCCATCTGTTAACTATTATAAAGGACATGGCCATGTTTCCCCATGCATTACATGCACAACCAATTCAGAACCCGGGCAGTCTAAGTAGGCAGCAGCTGAATGGCAATAGACCAGTGTTTCCCAACCTTTTTTGGGCAAAGGCACACTTGTTTCATGAAAAAAATCTCGAGGCACACCACCATTACAGCCCCGTGACGTCAGCGCGCAGCGTCACGCCGGGAGGGACGCACGAAAGTGTAAGTTTCAATTTTTCCCCCTCCCCCTTGCCTTCCTTCTGTGCCAACCGCCAAAAAGCCAAGAAAAAAGCCAAGACTTTAGGGCAGCAGGTCGACACGGAAGAAGCTCCTACCTAAGGACAGGTGCGACGGCCGTGTCCTCTTCTGCCACACTTGGCAGCCCTGCCTCACGGTCGTGACTCCCACCCTGATTTCTCCCCGCAGGTCGAGCGGCACAGGCAGCCCAATGTGTCCAGCCCAGACACAAGCCCCGCTTCCCCACTCTAGATCCTGAATGCGACCAAGTGCTCTGGACTCCCGAGCAGGGTGGGAAAGAGGACTCACATCTGGTAGCCTCCGGGCTCCTCGCCTGCTCGAGGGATGGCATTGCAGGCAAGCTGCCGGCCGTCGCCATCGCCGCCCCCTCATGCGAGTGGACCTGCCCGGAGTGGTGGGCCGGGGGAGGCTCGCTCTCTGTGGGGATGTGGCCCGCACGCGCGGCCCCGCTTCCTCCTGCCCAGGGCTGAGCTCCTTACCCGCGATCTCGGTCTCGCGCACGCGGATCCCACTTATTCTGAAGCTCACGCCACTAGCCGGGGCTCTCACACCGTGCCAGGGCGAGGCGGCGCGGCCCACTGACGTCATCGCGGCTCGCCGCCGCCCTCGACTTCCCTGTTCCCTCCCCTCCCTCGGGTCGCCGTGGTTACCGAGGACTGCAAGCTGCTCGGGCGAGCGTGGGGCATTAAGTGGGAGAAGGAAAATTAAAATTAAAACTCGCCTGAAGGCCGCCTCTCCGGATACAGTGGTGCCTCGCAAGACGAAATTAATTCGTTCCGCAAGTCTCTTCGTCTTGCGAGTTTTTCGTCTTGCGATGCACAGTTTCCCATAGGAATGCATTGAAAATCAATTAATGCGTTCCTAGGGAAACCGCCTTCAGACCAGGTCCGGGGACAGTCTGTCCCCCGACCTCTTCTGAAGGCTGGGGGGGGGGACAAGGGCTTTTCTTCCCACCCACAGCATTTTAAAAAACCCCGGGACAGCGGAGGACTTCTCCGCTGTCCGGGGCAATCTTAAAATGCTGGCGGGCGGCATTTTAAAATCGCCCGGGACAGCGGAGGACTTCTCCGCTGTCCGGGGCGATTTAAAAGCCCCTGGGAAGGCAGGCAGGGGGGACAAAGATTTTCGCCCCCCGCCCGCCTTCAGAAGAGGTCCTGGACCTCTTCTGAAGGTGGGCGGGGGCGAAAGTCTTTGCTCCCCCCTGCCTGCCTTCCCGGGAGAGCGGAGAAAGGCAGCGCGTTTCTCCGCTGTCCCGGACGGCTTTTGAAGGCAGGCTTTTGAAAGCCGTC